AGGGGGGAGAGGGGGTGGTGCAAAGTACAATTCAAGATCATACCAAAGTGCACCGCCTATGGGAAATTGTGAGCTGAGAATAGTAGCGGCTGGCTTGGGAAGGCCAAACTCGGGGAGGGTCCATGACTGTTGGTTTAGCGGTCTTTCAATCGTCTCGACCTCGAGTGTCCAGCACCTTTCGTTGCCCTTCTCATTGACATGCCAGCCTGCTGAGTGCTGGAGGTTAAACCCGAAATGCCCCACTCCTCTTGGCAGCTGGCCCCAACTCCCAATTCTGCCATCGACCAATCATATCCAGGCAGGCGGTCGGCAAGCCCGCACACAGGGCTCGCCAAATTTTTGACCAAAACCCACAACACCTCGCCACTTTATTTTCTCCTCCGTCAAGATCACGGTGATCAATCAAGCAACCGAACTCCTTGTCCAAGTCGCCCAACGATCCGTCACAATGGCCAAGGTCTCTACCAGTCAGTGCCATCTTCATCAATTACCCATCAAACGATGCGATATTAACAATTGATTGCAGACGTTTCGTCCTCGAGACGCAAGTCTCGCAAGGCTCACTTCTCCGCGCCTTCCAGCGTTCGTCGCGATATCATGAGCGCTCCCCTCTCCAAGGAGCTCCGTGAGAAGTACAACGTATGTTCCTGCGACTTTCGCTTCTCAAAAATGATCGGGTAATTGACAATCTCAACAGGTCCGCTCCATCCCCATCCGCAAGGACGACGAGGTCACCATCGTTCGTGGCTCCCAGAAGGACAAGGAGGGCAAGGTCACCTCCGTCTACCGCCTCAAGTACGTCATCCACGTCGAGCGCGTCGTCCGCGAGAAGGCCACCGGTGCCGCCGTCCCCCTCGGCATCCACCCCTCCAACGTGGTCATCACCAAGCTCAAGCTCGACAAGGACCGTGAGGCCATCCTTGAGCGCATCAAGGCCGGCCGTGAGGCTTCCAAGCCCAAGGCCGCTGCCACTGCTTAAGCGGTGACAACATGAGACCTTGAAATGCAAAAAAATTAAACGACAAAAATTTTCTCGGTTCGGCTGGTCGAGATTCGATACCCCCCTTTCTCTCAACAATCTCGGTCGGTACTCTGGCGTCAAATCGGTTGCTTGCGAAATTACGGATATCTTGGGACAGGGAAAATCACAGGGACGGATCTAGAAGACACCATCACCTCAACAGGGTTTTGAGGGAGAGAGAGACAGAATCAACGAATCGAGACAATTTTTGTTCTCAATGGCCAATTTTCACTGTTTTCAAGTGATTATTGTTCCATGGGAGGTTTATCCCGAAGCCACATCTCTTGTCTCTTTGCATATTTTTTTGCCTTTGACTGGAAAGGCTTGCTGTATACTGCCTCGATTTCGTTGGTACTAACTTTTTAGGAGTCGTAAGCAAGACTGATGATCATGTTGGATCGGGATGTCTCGATGACGGTGAGTGTGTGTAGAGTAAAAAGATGATGAGATGTGATGATGACCGCCATATTATCTCCTCGTTAGCACGGTATTTTCTCACGGCTTTCGAGGTAAACAATTGGCGAAGAACAAATCGGCACTTAACCTCTCGAAAGGGCCATGGTGCTCTCGCCTGCAGACTTCCTCGGAGAGATTATATCGATGAGAGAGGGGGTTTGATGGTGAGGGACATTTTATTGCCAAGGTAGAAGAAGAATTGAAAGAGTTGTTGCAAGTTGTGCTGGTTGATCTTGTGATGGCCTTGATGGTTGATATCGACCTTGTTTCGTGAGCTCATTGGGTGGTTGGTTGGGCCGGGCCAGCACT